TGTTCATTGTACTGATTGCTCTGGATGCAGATTGAGGCTCCAACCAAACCAAAGGGATAGCAAAAAAATGCACCCCTGTCTCTCTGCCGCTGAGGCCAGGACTCAAGGCGGTCTGGGGCCTCCTCGGCTGCATCCTGTGTGCCAGGCTGGCGCTGCAGATCTGCGGAAGCCCCTGCAGACAACCAAAACCAAAGAGACCAAATATGCAGAAGAAAGGCGCGACTCAGGCTGCAGCTGCCAGTGCTCGCTGGCCTCACAAGTCAAAAGCTGCTGCATTTTTGCTGACAAACTCACCTTGCGAGGCAAGGACGACGGGACCGAGCCATCAGATTCGAGTTCCTCTCTGACGTCTCGCGCTTGAGGCTTGCCTGCATCACGACATGTTCCTAAGCCAGTTGAGAATCGATGGTGGGCGAGGCCGTGACGCTGCTCGGTGACCACCAGACTGAAGCTGACTGGTGCGCCGATCGCCCAATCTTTGTACTCCTTGCTGGCAAGAGGCTTCAATCTGTCTGCAGTCCGCGCTTGTGAGGCCGAGATCCACACGGCTTGCGACATGTAGATGTCGCGCTTGAATCTGGAAGCAAGCTCCGGGCATTCGATAAAGCCAAACCTTGCCACACATGCCACACACACACAGAGGACAACCTAGGCCGCACCTCTCACCTTGAAGACAACTGCGCCTTGCAAAGTCAAGGTCTGGGTGGCGGGCGTGCCCGGTCCCCAGGACTTAATCCTCCCTCTGTAGCGTTCACGGTCTGAGACGTCCTGGAGGCGTGAAGGCTTGCAAGCAATACCAGCTGTCACACGGAGAGCAACACCAGCCGCCTGCTCGCAAGACCTGCAAAGGAGTTTCGGCACTGATGGGATGATGGGGCAATTTTCATGTGCTTCATGTTGCATGATCCAAGCTCTGCGCATCTCAGGGATGTGGGCCGAGCCAGCGTGGTAAAGACTTCGCGCCACTCTGTACGTTCTTCTCGGGCCGAAATCTTCTCATTTGAGCGCTAGCAGTCATACACATGGACTTGCAAACCTGTCTAAAACCAAATGGCATGGGATTCTGTGCTCTTTCTCGCAGACTGCTGCCGTAAGTTACGGGTCGAATGCCATCAAAGAGTTCAGCATTATGCTTTGATTGAGTTATTCTTTGGTTGCGAGACTTGCATTGCAAGAACTAGCCCGCTAACTTTCGCCAAGCCCCTTGGGCCGATGGCCCGCTGCCTTCAACACAGCCCTAGAGGATGGGACAACAAACAGAGCCGTCTTTTACCTACACAGCAGCCTACTAGGGTATGAAGACTACCACTTCTCTACATCTACTACTACCACTACAGCCACTCAAAGAAAAGGACCGAAAACTTCTGAGCCTGGCCCAAAACTTGCACGTGCTCCGCCTGATACTGGAACTGACAATTTCCAAGCATATGTGTGTACAACTTTACATGTATGATCTTACATGTATGTACATGTGTGTGTGTGTGTGTGCGTGTGTGTGTGTGTTTCCGAGCTAGGATTGACAGGACAGTGCAGCGGAAACGTGTGCTGCCATCTGAAACGCTTCCTACAGTTGCAAACCACTATGGGCTAATAGACCTTAAGGTTACCTTCTCCTACCCTAAACCCTAAACCCTAAACCGCCTTGCAAAGGCACACAACAAGCCCTCTTTCTCGATTTGCAGCAATCACAAAACTCCTGCATTCATCCGTCCAATCTTGGCTTTCGACAGCCTCATAAGCCTTACAGTCGCCCTTAAGAAGATGGAATACAAGGTTTAGGGTTTCAGGTTAAGTAGTAGTTTCCATTGTCTTTTCCATTATCCCAAATATCCCAATATTGCCCCATATTCTATCTACTTAAGGGGGACTATAAGCTGTAGGAATGTGCCGTACAGCGGAAGAACCGTGCAACCATGTGCAGGGTCCAGCACCGGGCTGGTACGCTCAATGGATGGCGGCAGTCGATTTTGCCAAAGCAATACAGTGGGGTTTAGGGTTTAGGGTTCAGGGTTTAGGTTCCCTACAATAGGGATCCTAGTAAATTAGGATCTATACTGGGGGTCCCCTTACTTTGGGAAGCTACTACAGCCAAAGCAATATACTATACTAGTTTTCATGTTCTTTTCCTTTAACCCCTATAACCCCCTATATTAACCCATTGTCCCTTTCAGCATTTACAATTACTGCTGACGGACAAAGGTTTGAAGAACACGGGGGGAGGGGGGGGTTGCTTCAATTTACGGGGACCCCAATATAGACCCTAGTATACTAGGATCCTTACTATAGGGAACAAACCCTAAACTCATCTCACCATCAAATGTATTCAACTCGATTGCAGCCTCCCTGCCTGCAAGGCCACGGCCTCCGAATTCAGAATGCATGAACCCTGATCCGAACCCCTAAAGCGCGAAGCAGCGCATCTGCATTGACAACCAAGAGAGACGATGCTCGGAGTCATGGTGCAAGGGCCTTGGCCTGCACTTGTCAGGTCGGAACCATAGTCCCCCTTAAGTAGATAGAATATGGGGTATATGGGGATCTTATTATAATATACCCAATGCCATGTTCTATCTACTCAAGGGGGACTATAAGAAGATCCTGATCACTTGCCTCAAGCTTGCCCTATTACTTGTACTAGTACTGTTACTCTTACTATTACTAGTACTACTAATATGCATGCCTTGCTGATGAGCGTTTCCAGGAGGCCTAACTTCTGGAAACTGCTTGCCAGTGGTGCTCTGATTGTCCTCCTACTAACAGGCAAGTTGCGGGCCCCAACAACTTGAAGGTGGTTTTATATGTATCTAAGGCAATGTATATATATATATGTGTATATATATATGTATATACATATGTATATATATATATATAGATGTAGAAAAATACATACATGTACAGATGTTCGCACACATATGTATTCCATACCTTTTTACATGTACGCATGTATGTTTATGGGACATCCATGCTCTATGAGTAATGCTTCTAAATACGCACAAGTGTATACTTACACTCACACACACATCTGGCTACATAAGTACCTGTGAATATACACAATCACATATACATATAGTTGTATATGCATGTATGTATGACCTTCTGAGGGACTTTCCATTAGGCGATGAAATTAAAGCCAACATACAACACTTTGACAGGCAACAAGGGTTTTCCACTAGATTTGAGCTGCTAATTGGAGGCTACATGACAGGAGTAGCAGACAAGCTAGTTGAACTCTTGGACTTCTATGTTTACCAGATGCTTGTACTTCAACTGACATCAGTCTGTGAAACCTACCTCTTGCCCAATTTGCCTACGTCTCGAGGCCTGTACACTGGGCCTCTACTCAGGAAATCCAAACGCTGCGAGCGTACCACGCCCTGCAGGAGATTCAACACCTTGGTCTCACCAGTGCACGCATTACATCACGTATAGTGCTTCGCTAGCTTGTCACGCAGGTGCATGAGCTTGTGTGATTGGGACTTTCACGTGGAATCCCTCGGACATGTCGAGAAAAAGGAGCAAGCCAAACGGCTGCTTTTGCGAGACTGACCAGTTGGGAATGCAATATGCAAGCTTTGGCAGAATTTGCGCCTAATTACTGCGCGCATTCCAGACTGTGTCAGACCAACACCACGATAAACAAGCGCTGAGTCTGGGGTATTGCAATCTTACTTTCGGGCGATGTCCATTCTAAGTCACCGCATGATAGGCGTAGTGGCTGGGGCTTACAGTACATCCCTCTGAGCTCACCTGCAGTCGGCAGCCATGGCTGACAACGTTTGCGTTTGGGTTCGAGACTGCAAGCCCACGCGTGCTGCTGGCCCCTTGCGAAGACCCATCAGAGGCTATGGCATCTCCTTGTCGAAGAATGCAAGCGCATCCATGATGCCAGCAGCAGCCTGTGCTGAACTGACTGGCGAACTGCGTGCTAGTGTGCTGATGTGAGGGTTTCCCAAAATTAGGGGTACCTTTTTGAAAATCCCTATAATAAGGACTATGATATATTGGGGTCTATATTGGGGTACCCTAATTTTGGGAAACTACCATGTGTGCTGCGGTGTCCCTTCAACTCAGCTGACATGCAATGCCGGCCTGAGAGCTCGCATGAGCTGTCCCTAATCTGGGTTGCTGTTAAGGAACTTAATTTAAGTTACTATCTTGGGGGAACCATATTCATTACTACATATACCCATTATGGTAACTTAATTTAAGTTCCTTAACAGCAACCCAGTAATCCTCCAAATGCTTCTGATTGCAATTGTGCGAGCCTCTCTTCTGGAGTAGAGGATGGCCGTGCCTTCTTCGTGCCTGAACCTGGCACACGAGAAAAAACCTCCTCCAAGACCCTACCCTGCTCCTTGCTGAGAGAAATCTTCTTCTCATCTCATGCTGAGAAAATGCTTCGAAGAACGAACAACTGCGGAACTCGTGCCAAAGCCACCGCTTGTCCTTCACCAATCCCTTGAGCTGCGGCGCATCTGCTGCAGCTTCCAAAGCCTGCGAGCCGTTCATTGCTAAGGCCCCTGCAAATCTGTAATCTTCATCACCCCTTATCCACCCCAAACCCTAAACTTGCTGCTCTCTTGGGACTTGGTCTCATGGCCCGGTCCCTCCGCCTTAGCACATCCCTGGTTTTGCTCCGCACACACATGCCACTTCCAGCAACACATGCCGTCATGAAGCACAGCTGGGTTTCGGGCAGCTTTGCCATCAGAAACAGGAAGGAAACCACATAAGCCAGATCCACTTTTTCATACATTTACATATCCCATGCATTCTAGGATAAACCCTGTAAAACATTGGCCTCCACAAGTTGCTGGGAGGCGTTGCCCACCATGACCTGGGATCGCTTCACAGAAGACAAACAACGTTTTCACACAAGCTGCGACAACCTTCAAACCCACAGCGCGAGAGCTCCCCGCAACGCTGAGATGAGGGCTCCATAGCCGCCACTCTTGAACAGCGCTTCTGCTTGTGCACCTGCAGAGATTGCCACCAACATCCACTGCACCAGTTTCGTCCGAAGACATGGACATCTTGGAAGAGCTCCAGCTCCTCAGGCGCCCACTCGCCCCACAAACAAGGGTCTGCTTCGGCCCTGGCTCTTCCATGCATTGTCGGCGTTGGGGAGGTGTAGAGTCAAAGCCCGAGTGATGGCCAGCTTCCAGAACTACCCTAATCTTTGGAAACCAACTGTTATTCTTACTAGTAAACTAGTATCACTTCTACTGCGATCACTGTTATTCTTAGTATCACTACTATTATGATTACTATGAGTATTACTACTCTGTCAAACACGGCGGCGTGCGAAAGTCCAGCTCTTGCGAGATGCACGAAAGTGCGCCGAGGATCTCAGCCTCTAGCGGCAGCGTGGAAACCCTGAAAAGCCCATAGTAGTTTCCATTTTATTCTCCATTATCCATATATATATATATATCCATTATAGTCCTAATATTGCCCTAGGCCCTAATGCTCAAGAATGCAACAGAGCTGGCGAACCAGCAGGCCCTCTGATAAAGTTCAAGTGTCACAATCAGCATAAGCTTTAGGGAAAGAGGGACATCTGTAGAAACATGTGGGAACCGCACGTTCGGAACATCAGCAGCCAACAACAACTTTGAAGCGTTGGGAGATTTGGTCAGGGAAGCCTGTAAGACGATTCAGTGTACCCGTATACGACCGAAGCCAGTGTCTATTTTGCAGGTACTCTAATCAGCCCCCCCAAAAGAAACCCTAATTTTAGGAAAAGACTAACAAGACCCAGTGGCCGCTTGATGCCATGCACAGTGAAGAGCTCCCTCAACGTACCCGTGACACCTAGAATGCAGCTGTATTGATTTGGGATGTCTGCAAAACTGAATCGGCCACAGACCACGTCGATGCCAACATGTTCCTCAGCACTGTCTTCAGGGATGCGTCCTTCCTCGGCAAAGTGCAAGTACGCAAACACAGTCTTGTTGGCATAGCTCTTGGAATACGTGTCTTCTCCCTGCAGCTTGTACCCGACCTTGCCGTCCTCTTCAGGCAAGGAGTGTATAGCACCATGTCACTGTGCGTTCAATGGCAAATTTCAGCGGCGCAGACTACATACCTCTAAGTCTAGACGTCAGTCAACCTTAGACCTCTAGACACGAGCGGTCCTTGACAGCTGGCGTAGGATTCATGAAGTCCTGCACGTTGGCCACCAGAGCTGAAGCGATCTGGCGCAAGGCTGTATGCAGCTGAGCAGGGCAACTGTTCTCCAAGGCTTGGAACTCCGCAGTCTTCGTGATGTTCTTTGGCGACCTGCACAGATGTTGAGGCGAGCCACACACACTGCTTGTTTCAGGCAAACCCCCCCCCCTCCCCCCACCTCCCGTTCTTGTACTCAGTGTATATAAATCTCACGAGGTCCTTCGCCTCCTTTGAGTCCAGGCGGAAGACTCCATCAAAGGTCTCACCATAAAAGCGCCTTCCAAAGAAAACGTCGGCCTCGTCGACCTGCAGATCCCGTGAGCCCTTCTATCAAAACAACGGCAGCTACCGTAAAACACGCGTTGGATTCCAGACCCAGGATTACAAACAACCACCGAGACACCAGCAGGACGCGCTTCTCCGGCGAGATGTGAGTTGGCTCGCGAGACGTGTTTGAACGAGAAAGGAGCTCCTTTGATGCGTCCTGAATGCAGCTGAGACGGTTCTCACAGATGTCCTGGAAAGTGGCATAGTGGATTTTGTCGCTGATGCCCAAGAACTCGTAGAAAGGCGCCATTGCCTTCCAGTCCTGCTCCACCAAGTAATGCTGGTAGCACACCACGTCGACTTCCATCCCAGAGAGGGCGCAAAAGGCTGCCAAAAGGCCCAAGGTCAGACACTTCCCTTCACCTGTCAGTATCTGGGCTAGATGATTCTCACAGATTGGCGGGATTGTGCCTGACATGGAGGTCTTGACGCGCGAAAAGAAGTGGAGGATTGGGCTATACCAGCTGCCAGAGGAGTGAACCCTAAGGAGGCGGAAAAGCGTCACCATCTGGCCACTGTGCGGTGTCACCAGGACCTCCTTCTTGCCCTGTATAGAAGCTGCGAGGTAAGCTTCACCGGACCTCACCACCATGTAGGCAGCAGCCAAATGAGTGAGATAGTTGCGGGCTGTTTCGTTGGAGGTTGGCGCTGAGCCTCTCGGCATCACGTGGTTCAGGTCGTGTTTGACCTGGGCCTTCATCTGCTCAACGCTGCTAAGCATGAGGTACCTCCCCTGTAGCTCCTGCATCTTATCACTGTGTTGCGCAAGTGCCAAAGTGAGATCCCTTTTCTCCTCCTCATTCAAACCGTCACCGTCTAGTTGCGTCACGATATCTGATGTCGACATCTGGCCTGCCTTTCTGAATGCAAGGTTCCTCACGCGGTCTGCACCAGCGGCGAAGACAGTGGGATGCTCACCGATGACTTTCTTCCCAATGTCATCATTCAGCAGCGCAGCATACAGCAAGTTGAGCCCTTCATTGCCGAAGTGAACCGACTGCTGCAAAGCCTTGAAGCCCCTGGCCAGCTTGACTTTCACTTGCGCATGGGCATCCGGCACTTCAATCGCGATCCTCCTGGCAGGGAAATGGCAGCACGCACGGTTGGAAACTTGCCGCTGCAGCTACTGTGCATTTTACAACAAGGTCTGCCAATGCGGTCCTGAGATTCAGAGTGGCTGCCTGAGCCTCCTGTAAGGATTTTGCGTTGCAAAGAACCACTGCATGTGGCTCCAACATACCAGTGTCCAGGGCCTTTTCAACCTTCTGCACAAACTTCCCTACTCCAAGATGCTCAGGCAAGCCTGCAGCGGCATCTCGCAAAGCCTTGTATGCAGGACCAAAATCCTCCAGGCTACCCTCTCCAAGCAACCGAATGGCCTCGCTAGCCTGGCATTCCAGATGGTGGGTGATGGCAGATAAATCTTCACGACGGGCTCCGAACACCTGGACCAGTAGATCCCGAAGCTCGCACACGTCTGAGACCTCAGAATACTTTCCATCTCTGCACAACCTTTCAAGGTCACGCTGCTCAAACAGGTCCGACCCAAGCACGGTCAAGCGCATCCACTCAGAAAGAGTTTGTGAACCATTCTGCAGCAGGCTCTCGGTCAAGAGCTGCTGGTCATTTTGGGTAAGACGATCGACAACCTCCCTCCACCTCTGGATGGGCTGCAAAGCAGCCCTGAGGGCACTTATGTTCCTCTCGCGCGCATATTGCTTGGCAAGCGTCAGCCTCTCGGCAATCTTGAGCTTGCAGGAAGCAAGCGCAGCCTCAACTTCCTGGCACTTCTCGTGCGCTACAAACTCTTGAACGGGCCTGTACTCCGTCAAACTGGCGACCAGCTGGTCTAAGTCTGTGCTCTGAGCAGCCTCAACCACGCGATCAGCCTTGGCGGCAAGGGCCTGATCTACTCCAGGAGCGTGACCATCGCGAACGCGTCGAGCATCTTGGCAAAGAAGGTCCAATTCAGGTGGAGGGTCATCACCCACAGCCTCCAAGAACCTCTTAAGAGCTGATAGCTGCTGGTGCATATCTCTGCCAGCTCTTGGCTGGCCGGAGGCCAGGCAGTCATCGACGCAGTCCGTGATCTTCTGGACAATGGATTCGATGAGCCTCTGCTCCTGGGCTCCATGACACTGCGTCAAGCACCAAACCTCAAGCGCTGCCTCAAACTCGCCAGAGCCCACGCCAGAGTCAGCTTTCTCGAGTGCCCTGTCAGTCGGGGGTGGGCAGCCGCATTTCTTCACCAGAAGCTGCAAGTGCCGCGTCATTCCAAATGGCACGCCTACATGCGTGGAGGTTTCTTCCAAGGATCTCAGAACAGTGCAGATATCTCGCAGCTCTTGGCAGCTCTCTTTGGCACGTTGCCATTGCTTTGCCTCTTTTTGATGTCGGAACTGCTCCCTGACTGCTTCACACTTGCCAGGGACATGTTGCCAGACATCTTCCAAAGATTGGCGCATGATCTGCACAAGCTGAGACTGCACATCTGGACCCAGTTGGCGCCACATCTCGAGCAACTTCCGAAGCAAGCCACTCATATCTCGCAGAGCGAGGTCTTTAGCTCTATCGGCTAGAGACGTCAAGTCTTTGGTGAAGATGTCCTTGGCAATCTCGTGGGCGCTTGTTCCGTTGAAGGCGGCAGCCATTCGAAGGTGACTTGAATGCTGTGGAGGTGCAAATCGCCATCCTCCACCAAGCCCAGACTGCAACTTCCTCTTAATCACATCCTCCAGCTCAAGCAATCGCGCATCCATCCTCTTCAAGAGGTCCTTGGTTCTGGATTGTAAGACATCTTGCTGGAGCTCCTGCAAGCGCGCGAATTCCTCCTTGAGGTCGGTGGCATTTCTGATAGCTTGTTCTGCTCCTTCTTCGTCCTAGCAGCAGGGGCATCTAAGACAGATTCGCACAAATCCACGGCTTTAGACAAAAACTTCACGCCCAATGCTTGCATGGAAACATGCTGATGGCATCACAGTGCAGTGTGAGCAATTTACTGCTCAAGAGGCCAGTAGGATAATATCCCCCTCTGTTCCTCTAAGACTCTGAGACACCGTACATTGACAGACCATGATCGCATGATACGTGCCTCAGTAGTCCTTTCCAACTTGCTGCAGCAGTCTTGCAAGGCCTCCAGCAAAACTGCGCATGGAAGGCAGGATAGAAGATGGTGACTCGAGGTGTGGGAGAAAGACCAAACCCGACTGGCCATTCTCCAACCCCGCCTGAATGACCCGCTGGTTGTACCTCTGGTGCTGTACATCTTCAGGAAGCTCCTGGAGATGACTGCAGGCTTCACCAAAGCGCATGCAACATTGGAAACTGACATGCAACACAGCAGGCGTGTCCGACTGCAGCAGGCAGCCAGCATCGTAGTAACGGCCCGAAGACAGGAAGTTTTCGAACTTCTTCTGGGTTTCTGAAAGGTTCTCATCAAGCTTCTGCACGATCCTTGAGAGGTCAGCAACAAAGGCCAGACGGGGCTCATCGCGTAGAACACTTGTCAGCGAGTCGACCAAAGTCTGGAGCCGCTCACGATTAGCATGCCAGCCACCATTGGCACTACAGCCGTCCTCGGATTTCCAGTCCTCGGCCTGCACAAAACTCAAAACTGATTACCTGCCTCCTTGTTGATATGTGAGCAGCACACAACAGCGCACTTGTAAGGGTACCCCTCTGAGCCTTCTTCTCCACAAGCGGCCAACACGATTCACGCACTCCAAGCTTCCTCGCAAGGTCGTGAACCTCAAAAGCAAGGGCCTGGCGGACTGCGAAATCTACGAAGTGCTGCCAGTTGTTGTTCTCCGCTGCTTCCTTGGCCTTCTCGAGGCAGTCTCGATGCCAGCTCCGAATGTCTTCCCCAATCCTCTTCCTGGCTTGGGAGATTTCGGGCGCAACTGGCCGCAATTGCTGCAACTTGTCAGATGAGGCCACGTGGTCCAAGAATTCCTTGCACCAGCCACGGGAGCCTATCTTCGTCCTCCACCATTGGTTCACCTCTACCATCACAGCATCCGTCACGAACTTTTGTGCCTTCTCAGCCCATTCTACCAATCCTTTGGTGCGGTCTGGCAATTCGGTTCTCAGAGCCTCGTTTGAGTGCAAGATCTTGACAACCTTGTTTGCAAGACCACTAGCATGCTGGAGCCCAACCAGAAGTCGGAAGCACTTCTCCTCCCTGACCATGTCGAATTCATTGAACGTCTTCTCCTTCTCACCTTCTGCAGCCTCCAGCAACCTCTCAAGCCTCTGTCTCAGTTTTGAGGAGGCCAAATCGAGAGTCCTGCGGACGGTGTCGCTCTTCTTGCCAAAGTGTTGGATCAACCAATCAAACTCGAAGAGCTTCTCCAGCTTCTTCAACTCTTCGGTGCAACTGTGCGGGATCGCCACATCCTTCAAGAAGGATACCACTTCCAGCAAAGGCTCATGCTGTGCCTTCACCTTCTCCTGCAATTTGCTGACTATACCATCCAGGTTTAGCCTTGCAGCCTCCAAGATGCGCTGTGACCCAACGTGCCCCCAACCTTGCAAGGTGTGCATGTGATCTCGCAGGTCGGCCTCCCATTCATCATCATCGAGGCCGGTTGCCATGCGTTCCACCACCTCATCCAGCTGCTTCTGTGTGAGGGTCGATGTGAGCGGCGTGACTATGAAGGTCTCCTCCAGGTTCTGCTCGCCAAGGAGATGCTCCAGCTCAGTCGATCCGCAGAACTGCCGCAAGGTCCTCCAACCATCTGCGTTCATGTCCAACTGTCGCGCTCCAACAGCACTTTCAGAGAGCTCCGCCACCTGAGCTCTAAGCTTCTTCTTCGTGTCGTCAAACTTGGCGTTCAGGTCCGGAAGGCTGTGGATTCCCTTCTCCCGAAATGTAGCAACAACTCCCCCCAAAAACTCTTGGAGTTCACTAAGTCGAGAAAGTGCTGAGATTGCCACCTGCGCTCCCTGGTGTGTTGAGATGCTGTCCTCCAGAGTCCTCACCAAGCTTGACAGTTGCTCTGCCCACTCTGCCAGAAGCTTTGAGCCGCCAGATGCTCCCAACAGCGCCGTCACCTCCAGCAAGTTCCGGATGTCATCAGCCAAACGTTCATTCCATGATGTTGTGTTCCCAAAGCCTCCGGGCAGAAGGTAGTCGAAACGCTCCCGCACCAAAGTCAGGCACACTGTCTTTGCATCGCTGCTTGAAGTCCAGTCTTGGCCTTTCAATGTAGGGCAGATTTCTGCAAAGCGGTCCATCTCTTCAAGCTCACAGAATCCACGCTGCAGCGCAGCTGAGCAACCTCTGCGCACTCCCTCCTGCAAATCCTTGACACAATCCTGGTTCTGTTTGCAGACTACAGTGGCCAGCTTCTGCAAGTTCTCCCCAAGTCCTGGAAGGAGCACATATTCCTCCAAGGTGGTCAGGATCTCAATCAGACTTGGCAGCTCTTCCAAAAGCTGAACACCAGATTCTGCATCCTGCTTCGCCCATGCAGAGCCTTCGCTGTTCACCTTGTCCAGGATCTGGATGACCCTGAACTGCAGTGCTCTCTGCAACTCATTCTCACAAACCACAGGCAGTCGACATTTGAGTGTCACCGCAGGGTCTGTGATAGGCCGCAGGCGCTTGAGCCATCTTTGCAGGCAGTGCTGCTGCTCCTGTTCTAAGACATTCACCGGAAATATGGTGCAGCCACTGTCAATCAAGGCATTCAACCTGCCCATATCGCTGTCCGCCTCCACATTCAGAACCTCATGAAGTGCAGACTCCAAGCAAGTATGGCAATACTCCATCAGCCGCTGTCCACCATCAGTGGCGGCGGTTGTTGGCTCTGCGGTGACCAGCTCGAAGCCCTCATCGCACTGCTTGCCAGTCAACCTTAGCAGGTTGCCGGCCATCTCTTCCAGAGCATCGACCACCAGTGTGTCGGTGGACTTGTTCAAAACCTGTGGTGATGATGTAATGATGAATGCCACAGATTCGTAGCTGCTGCCGTCATCTTGGAACATTGCAGCCAAGTGATTGAAGTCTAGAATTGCATGCTTTCCACGATCGTTGCGAACACAACAGCGCTCGGCACTCAGAAAAAGCACCAATCGCACAGACCGAGCTGCATGCAGGACGGCCTGGCGGCTGATCGCCCCAAAGATCTCCTGCTCCACCCCTGTCTCGCGATTGTAGCTTGCTCCGGTCCCAGCTGAATCAACGAGGTAGAGGGACGTGTTAGGGATCTCTTCTGTTGCCAAGCCACGCGTCACATCTCCAGTGCCACTCCCGATGATGAAGTCTCTGACAGACTTGTCCGCAACAAGTTTTCCACCACTGAACTGAAAGGTGGTCATTTCTGTGACGTAGGCTGATACTGTTGACTTTCCACTGCCACAGCAACCGACAAAGACAACCACATCTTTGCCCAAGATATCTCCGTCACAAATGACTTTGGCTTTCTTGTGCTCCCGGAGCAACCGCTTGGGCAGACCTTTCAAGTCCTCCATTTTGGCCATGTCTCTGAAAGCAACACCGCTGCGGGAGCTTCTCCCCGCACGCACGCAGGTGATGCAACTGACTACAAACCAATGCTCAAAACCTCTTGTCTGCCAGTCTGGCTTGGACAAAAAAGGCTGCGAATTGATGGTAAATACTCCCTGTGGGCACATGCAGGCAGATGCACAGAAATGCACAACCATATGTGGTAATATGCACATAAAATACACAAACAACTCTTTTGCACTGTGCAAATCGATTTGATCATGGATAGCGACGACAAAACACAGGTACCGTGACCTGCATCCGGCACATCGCCGGCCTCAAAACTGCTGCAGTCAAGCAGACTTATGAATTTGCTGGGTTGCTGTTAGAGAACTTAAATAAAGTTACCATAATGGGTATATATAGTAATTCATATGGTTCCCCCAATATAGTAACTTAAATTAAGTTCCTTAACAGCAACCCAGTTTGACGCTCCAAGAAGCTTCTTGACTACAGGCAGCAACAAAGGGCTCCGAGTTGCCGCCGTGCCTAGAGAATAGTGAGGCGTCTAGCTTATGCACGTTGCAAAAAGATCGGTGAAACTGTAAAAAGCTTGGACTTGAAACCACTGCTTGTGCTTCCAAGCACCAGGCCCACCCTCAGAAGATCAAGCCTCCAGGCGAGAATACCACACCCAGCCTGAAGTGCTGTAGCACCTTAGTTTTGCAAAGCCTGATTGGGCGTATGTAATTGGGTCGAGCCAACGCATGCCGACAGCTTCGTGACCGTGTTTTGACTGTCTTGGCATGTAGAAAAATGAGTTTTGTTCTCGACAACACCTCTGTGCAATTCATGGTGCCATGCTGGCTGAGAGCTAGTGACCCTGATATGTACAGAAAGCTGGGCAAGCTGAACCGCCGCTCATATGAAACGAACCTGTGCCACGTTCAGCCCAGCAGACTGGTGAAACCAGACAATGACCCTCGAGGATTGACGAATCGCAACAAGGCAATCCTCCAACCTAAAGGGGCCTCCTATTCAAAAACACCAAGTCTTGACAGCTCAAGGGCTCATGAGATGAAATGAAGCTTGTGCTGCAAACAATCATGTACTTCTTGCAAATCAATCCTACGAGTAGGGTACTCATCCGGCCAAATTTCCGGGGTCTTGATGCCGTCGTCAGCGGATGTATCTGCAGTGTCCCCTCCGATGCACGGGAAGCTCTCCCAATCTGGCGTTCTGCGAAAAAAGGGCTCGTGCGGAGACTGGGAAGCAGCACTGCGCCTAGAAGCCAAACCAGGAGCAGGGTTGGCTGTCCTCTCGCTGTAGGAGGGCGCTGCCTGCTGGTCTTGACAGGGCTTGCCTGACTCTGCTGCATGGTTCGCAGAAGTATGAGTCTGCGCATGCAGCCCGAACCAGAGTTTGCAAAGCCCGCCCTCGGACTTGATTCGCTTGCGCAAGTTCGGGCATGCTTGCTCCCGGGTTGCCAGTTGCAAGTGCTTGCCCAGGACTCGGCCACAATCGCTGGCGGATTTGTGATGGAAGGATTCTGGCTTGCATTGGAGAAGGTCAGTTAGGAGCTTGTGCCAAGCAGCTTCCTCCTGTTCTTCCGTAGCCTGCATCAGGCACGGACTCACTGGCCCTGGCAAGGCCTCCGTCAAACATGTCGCAGTAGCACCCTTGGCAATCACTAGTTTCCACAACTTGCCAAGTCCTCCCTTGCATCTGACGCGATGGCGCAGCTTGGGGCTGCAGTTGTACAACTCGTGCAACTGCACCTCTCTGGCCAGAAGCGCAAGCCGCTTTTCATGAGGAAGATCTGGGCGCCATTCCGCCGGGATGTAGCGCAAGCCTTCACACAGCTTGTGCCAACAGTGGGTGTCCCAATCCATTCCCGAACAAGCCTATGTGGCGGCTTGGGATACTGCAGCACCGCAGGAGTACCGCTGTATCAGACAAGTGTAGTGGCCGGCGGAAAACATTTCCTTTCGAGCCAGCCGGCTGAAGTCAGCAGTCACACCAGCAGCAAACACTGCGGAGGGATTACCACATCAGTTTTGCTTGCGTGCTACTGATCCGGCGGAGGTCAAGCTGAGGCTTGAACATCGCCCTGCCAAGGAACTCAAGCGCATCCATCATGCCAGCAGCCCTTGGACTTCACAGCATTGTTACTATGCCTGCATGCTCACATCACACCGTAAGATAAATGAAGCCCCACTGATCCTGTACTTCCTGCTGTTCAGCACTTACCGCGCTTCATCCTTGTTCTCACATGACGTCATCTTTTTCTTCCAGTGTGCAGCAAACACACAAGACAGAGCTCCCTGATCCTTTCCCAATGCCGCGAGGCTGCCAAACGCATCACATGTGGATTTGCTTGCTCTCAACCGCAATGGCCTGCGGCAAAGCGAGACAAATGAGCTGATTGAGTCGTCCTTTTGCGTTGCGAGCTGAGCACGATGACATGTGACCGAAGCTGCCTGAAGCAGGTGTCAAAAATGTTCTAAGCGACCAGGAAGCCGTTGACCTTGGGAAAAAAAATCCAGGTCTTTCAGCACTCAGTTCAAGAAGGCGCTTTGCGGCCAGATACGAGCTGAACCGACATGCTGCCCCAATTTAGGCAACACAAACTAAGTTCGGGCTACGGCTGCAGCTTTATGTCCAAAGAACCTATGCTGTCACAGCCACACAGGAAGCGTTGAGGGACCCTTGGGAGCCAGGGTACCTGACCTATCCACTCCAAGAAACCCTAAACCACTACCCCCTGCCCACCCACGCAGCAAGAGTGCAAAAAGAGCTCAAGCCTCGCGCACTCCGGATCCTCACAGGTTAGAGTCCCCCTTAAGTAGATAGAATATAGCTTTGGGTAAATCATAATAAGACCCCCATATAATCATATTCTATCTACTTAAGGGGGGCTACAGGCAGATCCACTCCCCAGACTCACTCGGCTTCACAGGCCCCAGGCTGGCACGAAGAGGATGAGGAGGTACCCAAGAACCTGCAACACCCCCAGTTGGCGAAGGCGCCACGTAAGAGCTTGTAACGTACCAACAAAACTTGCAGTGACAGCAGGACTGCTAAGAGAAGTAGCACCGGTATCTCGGAAAACATTCTCGCTAACCCAGCTGTTCAACTCTGAAGCCCTGCTGCCCTGATGCTTCTCATGCAATCCCAAATTGAAGGCTGAAAGCTCCTGGAAAACCCTTAGCCTTCGTATGCCGAAGTGTAACAGTAACACCTGCGCCGGCACATGGTGCCTCTGGAGCTCGAGAGGCCAGGGCAGCAAGGCGTCTTTCTTCAGCTGGACAGCTATGGATCACGCAAATGCTGCAGGGGCAGGGTCGCAACATCCCCACACTGTCACAGAAGACCTCCAAATCTCAAGCGACAACGAAGCACACAGCTGTCAATCAATGGAACATCAATGTACATGGTGCCATAATATTAAGCTTTCGGACCCTTTCTCCCAGATCCCGGTCGAGTGCTGGCAGTCAATGGCACTCGTCCGGTCGCAACTAGACCATGAAGGCTTTCAGCATCCTTTTCCTAGAAGTCGAATGGCCATCTCTGACAAGGTGCAAAAAAATGCCTGCAAAAAGATGTATGATGTATGCATAATGCCTGAGGGGCCCTTTGGACGCCATGACGGCTGGTAGGTGGAAAAGTACGACAGCCAACTTTGCTGGCTGCTACGCACACGCTTACCTGGCTTACCGAAAAGTACGGACAGCCAACTTTGCTGGCTGACACGCAAACACTCACCTGACTTGCCTGCCAAAGCTCGGAAAAGCATCGAAATAAGACCACATGCGGCAGCTTTTCAGGCATAAAACCACAAGTCAGAAGGGCCCAAGGCCCAAGGCCTTGTTTCCTTGCCTGGAAATCCATGAGGAATGACGCTTACGGCTTGCAATGTATCATGAGAACATCGCCAGCATGACGCCAGCCAAGGATAGACAGGTGAAAGCCTGAGAGGCGCCAGATACGCCCATGCTGCCTGTGCCAGCATTGACAGAGTTCCATGCATCGCTGATCATGTTTGAAGCTCCTGACCACCAAGGACTGCGTGCCGGGGGCACTGCCTGTGTGGACTTGGGCATGTCGGTCGAGGCGAGGATGCCAAGCACAGCAGCGCCTGCCTTCTCCGGGCGAATGCTCCGGCAACGCAGGCGCTTGTTGTCACAGAACTCCCCGCAGCTTCGAATGCACCAGCGCTTGGAGGCCTCGCACTCCACGCCTGTCACTACTTTCCCCTTATCGCAGTCCATGCGCTGCTGTTCTTCACTGAACCAATCGGTCACCACAGGCTCCTCCGTCATGTCTACCACCCACTGAAGAGGCTTAGCACAGAGGAAACGGAGATTATCACAGTACTTGCCAGTACACTCCACCCAAGTCACAGCCATTCCGTCGGGGCAGTCTGCAACCTGATCCTCAGCCTGGGTACCTCTGTTCCAGAACCAGCGCTTTCCAGTATTGTCTGAGATCCAGCCAGATTTTTCTGAGGAGGCCGCGTCGATTGATGCACTCATCTGGATCAAATTCACCGATTCGCAATACCTGCCTGCACAGCCCATGCCAGTACTCACCAGATTTGTCTTGGTCATTTCTTTGCCGCTCTGCGCCCATTCGGTGGTTGCAAAGTGGACGCATCGCCCAATGTCACCCCGGCAGAACGCAGCGGACTCCGCGCTGCTGTGGCTTTGACAAGTTCCACAAGAGCCACCACAGCCATCGTCGCCACACTCCAAGGAGAGAATTCCACAAGCAGGGATACACGAGCCGGGCTGGTAGACTGCACAGGTCAGCTTCTTGGTAGCACATTGGGCCCCGCCACAGCGCATGCCCACGACAACGGTGTCGCCAGGGCACATGCCGTCCTCGGCACCATGTACCTGGGAAGGGAACCATGGGGTTTCACTCCTCGACTCGAATATGACCTTACCAGACTTCGGCCAGGCACAGCGCAGCTGGAAGGATGTACAAGAGCTACCCACACAAGTGAACTTCATGGCAATCTGGCCAACTTGACAGCCAAGATAATCCACGTCGCCTTGTAGCTGGTGGATGGTCGCCACGGTGTTGCGCAGTGCAATGTCCTCACGGTGGCTAAGCCGCATGCTAGCGCAAAATTGGCCCGAGCAACCGACTGCCACCAAAGCCTTTGTCGCTGCGACGCTCTCAGATCCAGCCTGGTCGCTGAAGAACTGGGACCAAGGACCACCGCGGAAGATGAACTCTGTTGTGGTCGTTGTCGTCATGGTTGTGGTCGTCGTTGCCATCGTCGTGGCCACCTGGCTCGTTGTCGTTGCCAGTGTTGTAGTGGTCGCGGCAGTTGTTGTTGTCATCTCCCCTGAGCCTTCATACTCAGGGGCACCTATGTTGGTCACAGCAAGGTTGAACAGCATAAAGCCCTCAGTCGCGAACCCAGTATTGAGATTGGAGGCAAGGTCTACCTGACTGATTGACACGATCTTCTCCACAACGGCCGATACATTCTTAGCAGGAACTTTGAGCATGTAAGACACGACGATGGGGTCGCTACATTGCACCCGTTGGGGCGTGACGGCTGCTTTTGTGGTGCCAAAAGCCAATGCCAGCCCCGCTCGCATCCCATTGGTAAACTTTCCCACCCGGTAGGACACTTCGGAACACTGCACTCCCGCGAAAGAAAATTCTCCTTCGATTTTGACGGAGGTCCAATCCGTTCGTGCGGCTGAAGCGCTTGACGGCGGGCATGGCTGAAGGTCTTCTGTGGGTGTCTCCCAGGTCTCATTGAGCAAGCGCGGACACAGGACCACGTCCACTGTGTCACTCGCGGGATCTGTTGCCAGACCCTTGACCTGCATCTTTATGCTGGTAAAGAGGCGGTGGCTTTGCCTGTCTGTATCCCAAATTATGATGGTCGAGCCTCTGCGCACCTCATGCAGTAGATATGTCAGAGACCTTGAAGCCCTGCCGTCGATTTCTGGCTGGAAGTGGTGTACCTGCACTGTGTTTCCATGAAAGCCTCCTTCCAAATATTGGTCGAAGCCTAAGGTGCCGCGCCAGGAAATGGCGAGAATTGCCGGCACGCTTGACCAATCTCCACGGTAGATCGTATCCACATACACCAAGAGGCCACTTGTGAAATCCGTGCCCAGTGCCTTGAGCTTCACAGTGGTGGAGTCCACCCCAGCAAGGAGGTGACTTGCAAAGAGGGCCTCCTCTTGGTAGCCCGCAAAGCCTAGCTGCCAGGAGTGCAGGAAGTTATGGCACCGAGTCTCGCAACAATAGCCCATGGCCGAGCTGGTGTCCATGTACTCCTGGCTGGTCACACTTCCGCTGGCATGATGCAGCACCCAATTGTGGCCAATCTCATGCAGATACAGCTGCGGGCACACGCGGACCTCGGAGTACCAGGAGGTTGTGCCGCCCAGTGTGCCGATGCCGTTGGCAGCCAGCCAGTTCGACGGCACAATCAAAAGCTTGTAGTCGCTGTTCTCCCAGTCAGGTAGGCCTTGCAACTTTGTCTGGACAGCATCGAGAATTCCCAGGGGGCTGGAACAGTCCTCTGAGCAGACCTGCACCTTGTCCAGCACCTTCCCACTAAAGCTGACCATGTTCCGGGAGCAAACACCCATCACCTGGTTGAAGGAGCCGATGCCGCTCCCAAAGAAGCCGCTTTCCACCAAGTCCTTGGTCACCATCTGCAAGGGGGTGCCACACACCTCCACCAAGACAACGGCCGCTGTGAGAGCTATGGGATTCAGGCGCCTTCCTGCAGGCCCTCCGTCGAGTCCGTCTAATTGACCAAGCCTTGGCAACCTTGGCAGAATAGCAGCATTCGGCTCATAGTCCATGTCGCTGACGACGAAGACGCCTCTGGTGTCAGCTTCCTCCCACCTGA